CCATGGTGAGTCCTCTGGTGCAAGTAGAAGCCCTCAACCCAGCTTCATTTGGAGAATGGAGCAGACACCCCAGCAGAGCCCATACTTTCGAGAAGGCTTGTGTCAGTTTAACATTTCTTTCTAATTAACATTTTTAGTATTTCATTCATATAACATTTTGTTTAAATGTTTTTGTAAAGTTATAGGAAAACAGCATTGTTGACTGTATATTAATTATATTTTATTTGCTTTAAGCATATAAGGAATCATTTGTCATCTATAATACTTTATCCTTGGGCTGACAACTTCTGAGGAGTGGAAATGTTAACGTCATTGTGGTTTTAACTGGTTCCCTTTCCCTGACAAACACCCCAAGGCCTGTGTGTCTATACACACACACATAAATATATATACACACACCATACACATATATACATTTATTTGGGGAGCAGTTTGACAAAAAGCAGGGTTCTCACATAGACTAGTTACATATAGGGAGAATGGCTATTCCAGCCTGCCATAGTGGTTATAGTGCCTACCGTGCATTTGCACCATCCTACAAGTGCAAATTATTCCGTATGGGCAGCGTTTCCAGCAGAAACGCTACACATATTAATTCCTACCACCATGACCACTTCAAATCATTGAAGTGGTCATGGTAGTAAGAGTTACCCTTTAAAGATAAAAAGAATATTAAATGGCCTCAAGCCAGACAGGTCCTGTGACCCACTGATGGTGCAATACAAGAAAATATATAAAAATTCCTAAAATGTTACTAAATGATACCTGCAGCTACATTTCATCATATAATAACAGTGAATACTAATTTTCGGCCGAATTGCAATTAACCCAAATTTAGATAAATCAGAGGATTGTTCTAAATTCCGTAACTCTACAGCCCCACAACAGAATTAACAACTTGCACAATGGACGAACATGGTGACTGGTGATTTGGAGTTCCACTGGTGGCGCCAAAAGCAAAGACTGGGAATAATATGATTGATGGTTTGGGGACAGTCACTAAATGTTGACTTTATTTACAGATCATATACAAGCACAATAATAAAGCACCGCGCTTACAGCAGCAGTGGCCTAGTATCTAACAGCTCAAAATACATAGTAAAAACAAAGAGAACGTTACCTGCACTCTGGCCCAAATCCCCATGTACATTTAAACAAAATGGAGGCTCTTTAGTTTTATTCCAATGGCCATTTGAATATAAGCTCACCTGCCACGTCAAGGCAAGCCTCAAAGGTGAGTCCTACCCTAGCCATTAGATTTGCTGATATCAGCCAAGAATCTCCAATGAGACAGGAAGGGGTATTTTATAAACACTTTCACATCTAACCCTTTATAGGGCTTATACACATACAATAAACTTTGCTGGTATCAGACAAAGTGTAAATATCTCTAATGAGACATGAAGGGGTGTTTTATAAACCCCTACATACTTATCTACCCTAAATAGGGCTATAACACATACAATTACCTTGCTGATATCCAGTGCTTTATCTTTGTGTTTGTATATGATGTTTGTATGACACAGCTATGTTACATTGCTGCCAGCCACCACATGCTTGTCTTATTAAAGGGACACTATAGTCACCAGAAGAACTAAAGCTTAATGTAGTTATTCTGGTGAGTATAATAGTTCCCTTCAGGCTTTTTTCATGCAAACACTGCCTTTTCTCAGGAAGTGTTTACATTGTCTCTAGGAACACCTCCAAGTGGAGATGGCCACTGGTAGGCTTCCTGGGTCAGTGCTGCCGAAAAAGCAGCCCTGACGTTCAGCGTCCCCACATTCTGCATGGAGACGCTGAATTTTCCTCATAGATATGCATTGATTCAATGCATCTCTATGAGGAGGTACTGATTGGCCAAAACTGCATTTGGCCCCTCCCCCGTGATGATTTTACCCAATCCAATACTTTTCCTATGGCTAAAAATCGGCCATTTTGATGTCACAAAAGGGGGCGGAGATAGCCCCGCGGACCAGCACGGCGCTGGAAATAAGGTGAGTTTTAAACTTAAAGGGAACTAAGGGGGACAAGACATCTAAATGGTGGGTTAAACACTATAGGGTCAGGAATACATGTTTGTGTTCCTGACACTATAATGTTCTTTTAAGAGTTTATAAGTATGTAGGGGCAGCACCCCTTCCTGTCTCAACAGAGAAATTTGCCTTTTAGCTGTAACCAGCAAGAAGCTTTGCATGTGTTATAGCCCTATTTAGGGTTAATAAGTATGTAGGGGTTTATAAAACACCCTTTCAAATCTGTATAAATATAGATTTTTCACTACACCTTCTCTATTTCCCTGTATTGGCTACTTTGTCTCATTTGATATACGAATCAAATTACAGAAAAATGCACCTATCACTGTACTGCACAATATAGACAATATTTATATTATGTGTATATTCTGCACTACTTGACTGATTGGCCCATTCTTGCACCATAATTGTGTTGTATTCAGATGAGCCATATGACTACCCAAACTAAATTTCATTTTCAGATGAAGCGATTTCACTGAACCAACTTTTTTTGCCATGCATAAGTCTATTACATATATATGTATGTATGTACTATCAGTGATAGATTACTTAACTGTCAAGTGTAATGTTATAAGGGAGAAAGCAGGAACTTCCTCTAGAAATGAATTGGTCAATAACCCACACACAAATGAAAGTGGAATAACCATCTGTGCACGAAAAAAAAACAACCTTAAAACTAAACATAGCAAAACCACCACAATTCATGGACTTATTGTGTTAAACCACAGAAGGAACAATCTCAACTGCACTTTGAAAAACTGAAAAAGAACATATCTTAAAAGAGATTCCACTAACTCGGATGCATGCAGTATCACTGGAGCAACAACATGGTTGGTATGTATTTTGTAAAAAGTGTGTCATTTGAAATTGCTAATTGTATGTCAAGACACAGAGGCTCATATTGCTTAACCCTTTCTTTACTTTCCACCAATAGCAGCAAAGAATACAACAGTAAGAAAAAATGGTAACCATAGTGATAGACCACACCCATACCAAGTCCCAGTATAATAGTCAGCACATCCCCACACATTTCCTCTTTCTTTGCTGCTCCGACCAAGATAAGTACATGACAAATTTTCTCTCATACTATACTACTATTCTCTTATTGATTTCTGGTTATTTATATGAGTTATTTATTGTTATTTGAACTTATATTACTCCTTTTCTTGATAATTCCTGTCTGCTTTCATTTATCCAGTTATTAAAGGACCACTATAGTGCCAGGAAAACATACACTATAGTTTCTCTGAAACTGCTATGTTTATGAAAAAATGGGTTAACCCTAGCTGGACCAGGCACCCAGACCACTTCATTAAGTTGAAGTGGTCTGGGTGCCTAGAGTGGTCCTTTAAGGATTTTTTTCTGTGTTTTATTACATGCTTGTTTTATATTATATATTATGTTGGTTACCTTTGAGCCCAGGGTTCCAGACCTTCCCTATGTTTTATTCTGTGTGTTATCCATGCTCACTTGCTTCTTCTGATTACCTTTGGCTCCATTTTCTCCTTCTCTCCGTTTATTCAGAGCCATTTTTCGTCTGTTTTCCATCTTGTTCTGCTGTTTTCGTGAAAGAATTCTAACCAGTTCGGTAAATTCTTCATGAACACATGCGGTGCGTTTGTTTTTTTTAACATTTAGCTTCATTCGTCTGTTTTGTCGCGTTTGGCTACTTTTCATTCAAACGTTCAGTGCATTCGCCTGTTTCCTATTCATTACTTTCATCTATTTATCCCATTGAATTTGTCTCTTGACGAATTAACTGTATTTAGGCCGCGAATCTCGTGAGAATGCCGGCGGCCATTTCCTGACTTCCTGTCCCTCTGACTTTGTGCGTGTTCTCTTCCTATCTGCCGGTCTGGACCCCGGTGAGCTCCCTATCTATATCCTCTTAGGTTATACTAGTTTGGGGTGATTAACCCCTGCTAGTCTCCTCTGCTCTGATTTAGCTTTATCCCATACTGATTATATTGTTGTTAAATTTTTGTTGGGGAATATCTCACAGCACTACCATGCCCAGATCTGAAGTGCCTGCCAGCCCCTCCTCCCCTAGGGAGATGGACATACTTTTGGATAACCCATCTTCCAATTCTGCGTCTCCTTCTTCTGTTGGGGACCCTATGCCCCTGTCTGATGAGACCCAGTCTCTGGCGCTACAGCGCTCAGTCTCTGATGCCATTATGGCTGCTATGGGCTCCATGTCCTCTGTCCTCTCCCAGACCATATCACAGGCCTTACTTGCACGCCCTTTGGCCACAGAAGGTTCAGCCTCGTCGACACGCTTAGCGTGCCCGGCTACTGACCCTATAGGGGAGGCACCAAAAAAGGCTACTTACAAATTCAGGCACTCAAATCTCCCTGCCTCCAGAACCAACACAACTGGTGTGACTATAGCCACACGCCTATGTCACGCAAGAGAGCCTTTCTGCACCAGGCAGAACAGGCGCAGCAGTGGAAATGTGCTAGAGCACAAAAAGAGAGCTACTCCGACTCAGAAATCGGGTCTAGTGAGGAGGCTGCTACTGAGTCTGTGGATGACTCTGATGACGAATTTTGTGGGCAGAAGTCTGACCCTTTTGGCCCTGCTCACTCCGCGGTGGTTGTGAGTGGCCCTAGGAGCGACTCCCCCGCTACTGCGGGCTCCACCCTCATGGATCCGTCTGGGGAACCCATGTTTGACCCGGATGCTCTCCATCATCCGAGGTCGGTGGAATGGCTCCCGGCGGACCATGTGACACGGTACCTTGAAAACTGGATACGACGCGCCCTCAGTAAGGCGGCGCGTACTAAACTTAGGGCTGAATGCCCAAGACCATTGGTACCTAGCAAAGTCTGTGAGACCCCTGTAGTTCACCCTAAGATGACCCAATTCCTCTCCAAAATGGGTTGGAATCCCCGCAAGGGTCTAGATTCAGCACTTAAATTGTGCCAAGATAAACATCTCGACATATCTGGTCCTTTGGCCAAACTGTTTGATCTGGCTGAAATCGCCAGAGCCGAGAACCGGCAGGTTGACCTGGAGGAACTCCGTGGTTGGGTGCAGAGGGCTATCTGCATTGCGGGCAGTGTAAATGCCTTCCTGTCCATTGAAAGGCGTAAAGCCATTCTGTTCAAGATTGAACCCAAACTGGCCAACCTTGCACTCACAGAGGCAGGCAAGGACGCCCAGAGCCTCTTATTTGGGGACTCCTTTATTAAGGACCAGGGACGCTTTGTGGGTGCATTCACAGCCCTAGATAAGGCCCAATCCTCCATGAAGATGGTGTTTCAGGGGCGGGTCTCTACCAGGGCCGGCAGATTCAGGGGTCGTCTGTCCGGCCGTTCCAATTACCAAGCCCGTGGATTGGGATGAAGCTCCTACACTCAGAGAACACCCTACCTGGAGACGAGACAGCAGTCTCCTTTCTTCCCCTCTCGTGGAAGACCATGGCTTTCCAGAGGCTTCAGAGGGAACCCCGGTTCCAGACGCCCTTACGGTAAGCTTACATCTACCTCATGTTTCTTCCAATATGTGTGTAGGGGGCAGACCCGTCATTTTTTCCACACCTGGTCAACCATCACCTCAGATGTCTGGGTTCTGATCACAGTGCGGGGGTTTCACATCAAACTGGTCAACACTCCATGTCACGTTCCCCCACCTCGCCCTATTTTGCTTTCTACAACCGACCGCTCCTCGATAGATGCAGAACTAGTGGCCCTCCACGCAAAAGGGGCGATAGAGCTGGCCTCGATGTCCTCCACAGGGGTGATCAGCAATATTTTCCTAGTGGAAAAGAAAGGCGGACAAATGCGCCCAGTTATCAACCTCTGTGCCCTAAACACCCTGGTGCGCTATCGTCACTTCAAAATGGAGGGCATCCACCTCCTGCGAGACTTACTCCTTCAGGAAGACTGGATGGCAAAGTTGGACTTGAAAGATGCCTACCTGACGGTCCCAGTGGCCGAGTCTTCCAGGGACCTGTTACGTTTGCTCTGGAAAGGAGACACCTGGCGCTTCTCCTCTTCGGACTGTCCTGTTTTGGTGCTTCACGAAACTGATGCGCCCCGCCATGCCTTGGCTGCGCAGTCGGGGAGTCTGGCTAATCGTCTATTTGGACGACATCCTCATCATGGCACAGGATCATTCAGTCCTTCAGAAACATCTTCAATGGACGATGGACCTCCTATCCCACCTGTGTTGTCTCCTCAACTGGGAAAAATCCTGCCTGTCTCCTTCACATCGCATGGAGTTCCTAGGCTTCATGGTAGATTCCGAAGCGGACTCACTGAGCCTCCCTGCCTCCAAGATACGGACAACGCACACCCAGCTATCTCTACGCCACCTGGCACGGATCTTTGGCCTTCTGGCAGAATCAATCCAAGCAGTGTTCCAAGCCCCACTCCATTACCGTGCCCTCCAGTGCCTGAAGATCGCACACCTTTGCGGGGGGCGTCCTATGCGGACATTTTCTCCCTGGACTTGGAGACTCGAGACGAATTGACCTAGTGGATCGGCTTGGAATGGTAATGCCATCTTCGGTTCCCAACCAGAGTTCACGGTTAACTCAGACGTCAGTCTCCACGGCTGGGGTGCCCATTGCAACGGGGTGACTACCGGGGGTCGCTGGTCAGCAGACGAATCCCACATCCACATCAATGCTCTGAAACTCCTAGCGGGTTCATTCGCGATCCGGAGTTTTGCAAACGGGACTGCCAGCTCATGTATCCGCCTGCGCATGGACAACATCTCAGCGGTCTGCTATGTCAACCACATGGGTGGCACTCAATCTGCAATCCTGGCCTGCTTGGTGATGGACTTCTGGGCCATCTACATGTGACGTTTCCTGTGTTTTGTAGCTGTTCTCCTCCTGGCCGCCTAATGCAGAGCTCTCCCTGCGACAGCTGTCGGCCAATTTGTTCTCTCTCATTTCATGCAAACGGGTATCGGATGTTCGTGCCCTGGACTATGATGCTAGGGGTGACGTTTAACATCTGCAGATGCACCAAGACCGCTATTCGATCGGTTTCTTATCCAAGCTTCCCTGGTACTCCGGCCCTATGTCTGGTGGCCTGCCTACGGGAATATGAACTTCGAACGAGCGCACATCGAGCAACGTCATCTCCCCAACTGTTTCTCTCGCTTCGTCGCCCCTTCTCCCCTGTGTCCAGTACTACTACGTCCATGGTGAATTCAGGTGCACGTCTGGAAGACCTGATGAGAATGGCCGACTGGTCCCGCACATCCACATTTCATGAGTTTTACTTTTCGACCTTTGCCTCACGTGTTTTCTCCAGTTATTGATCAGCTTTAAACTTGCAATATGAGCCTCCGTGTCTTGACATAAAATTACATGATTTTGCTATTTCATGACGAAAAGTCATGATTTTATGAAAGACATGGAGGCGAGTATTGTCCCACCCTTCATAGTTATTTTACTGATTTACCCCACCTGGTTGTTTATTCTCTCCTGCAGGTTTTCCAGGGTTGGTAGGTATTCATTTTGCGCTCTGGGTTTTGTATAGTTTCAACCGTTTATTAACCTGTTCATGTTACGTGATTATTCGAAATGCCTATGATGAATTATGCACACTGTGTTGCTTCTGTCTAGTTATAAAATTATGCACACTTTGGTTCAAGTACCGATTTAACCGTTTGGCTCCTGTCTTTTGTGTTTTCACAGGTTGATTCCTTGTTGATCAAGGGTCTTCAGCACTTCTCTCACGGCTTCACCAAGTGGCCAGGAAGTTTATGTACAATGCTGTGATGGGCCCCTGATGGATCGGTCCAAGTTTCGTTATGGTTCCTGATCGGAGTCCGGCTGGATTTTGGATCGCCTGTTCTATTTGGTTTGGACTGTTTCATCGTTCCTATTTTGTTGTTATTGTATCGCATCTCCAAAGAAAGAAGAAATGTGTGGGGATGTGCTGACTATTATACTCGGACTTGGTATGGGTGTGGCCTATCACTATGGTTACCATTTTTTCTTACTGTTGTATTCTTTGCTGCTATTGGTGGACAGTAAAGAAATGGTTAAGCAATACTCGCCTCCGTGTATTTCATAACATCATGACTTTTCGTCATGAAATAGCAAAATCATGTAATTCACTAACGCATACAACATACACACCATTTACATGGATAATAATTGGTAATATTTACCACTGTGCACCACGAGTTGCTTGTTTATTGAATACAATGAAAAGCAGGATAGCATAGAAAGATAAAGTATTCCAACAGGCCCCATGCAGAAATTACGTGTGTGTGTGTGAACTTTTCCCCCACCTCGCCCTATTTTGCTTTCTACAACCGACCGCTCCTCGATAGATGCAGAACTAGTGGCCCTCCACGCAAAAGGGGCGATAGAGCTGGCCTCGATGTCCTCCACAGGGGTGATCAGCAATATTTTCCTAGTGGAAAAGAAAGGCGGACAAATGCGCCCAGTTATCAACCTCTGTGCCCTAAACACCCTGGTGCGCTATCGTCACTTCAAAATGGAGGGCATCCACCTCCTGCGAGACTTACTCCTTCAGGAAGACTGGATGGCAAAGTTGGACTTGAAAGATGCCTACCTGACGGTCCCAGTGGCCGAGTCTTCCAGGGACCTGTTACGTTTGCTCTGGAAAGGAGACACCTGGCGCTTCTCCTCTTCGGACTGTCCTGTTTTGGTGCTTCACGAAACTGATGCGCCCCGCCATGCCTTGGCTGCGCAGTCGGGGAGTCTGGCTAATCGTCTATTTGGACGACATCCTCATCATGGCACAGGATCATTCAGTCCTTCAGAAACATCTTCAATGGACGATGGACCTCCTATCCCACCTGTGTTGTCTCCTCAACTGGGAAAAATCCTGCCTGTCTCCTTCACATCGCATGGAGTTCCTAGGCTTCATGGTAGATTCCGAAGCGGACTCACTGAGCCTCCCTGCCTCCAAGATACGGACAACGCACACCCAGCTATCTCTACGCCACCTGGCACGGATCTTTGGCCTTCTGGCAGAATCAATCCAAGCAGTGTTCCAAGCCCCACTCCATTACCGTGCCCTCCAGTGCCTGAAGATCGCACACCTTTGCGGGGGGCGTCCTATGCGGACATTTTCTCCCTGGACTTGGAGACTCGAGACGAATTGACCTAGTGGATCGGCTTGGAATGGTAATGCCATCTTCGGTTCCCAACCAGAGTTCACGGTTAACTCAGACGTCAGTCTCCACGGCTGGGGTGCCCATTGCAACGGGGTGACTACCGGGGGTCGCTGGTCAGCAGACGAATCCCACATCCACATCAATGCTCTGAAACTCCTAGCGGGTTCATTCGCGATCCGGAGTTTTGCAAACGGGACTGCCAGCTCATGCATCCGCCTGCGCATGGACAACATCTCAGCGGTCTGCTATGTCAACCACATGGGTGGCACTCAATCTGCAATCCTGGCCTGCTTGGTGATGGACTTCTGGGCCATCTACATGTGACGTTTCCTGTGTTTTGTAGCTGTTCTCCTCCTGGCCGCCTAATGCAGAGCTCTCCCTGCGACAGCTGTCGGCCAATTTGTTCTCTCTCATTTCATGCAAACGGGTATCGGATGTTCGTGCCCTGGACTATGATGCTAGGGGTGACGTTTAACATCTGCAGATGCACCAAGACCGCTATTCGATCGGTTTCTTATCCAAGCTTCCCTGGTACTCCGGCCCTATGTCTGGTGGCCTGCCTACGGGAATATGAACTTCGAACGAGCGCACATCGAGCAACGTCATCTCCCCAACTGTTTCTCTCGCTTCGTCGCCCCTTCTCCCCTGTGTCCAGTACTACTACGTCCATGGTGAATTCAGGTGCACGTCTGGAAGACCTGATGAGAATGGCCGACTGGTCCCGCACATCCACATTTCATGAGTTTTACTTTTCGACCTTTGCCTCACGTGTTTTCTCCAGTTATTGATCAGCTTTAAACTTGCAATATGAGCCTCCGTGTCTTGACATAAAATTACATGATTTTGCTATTTCATGACGAAAAGTCATGATTTTATGAAAGACATGGAGGCGAGTATTGTCCCACCCTTCATAGTTATTTTACTGATTTACCCCACCTGGTTGTTTATTCTCTCCTGCAGGTTTTCCAGGGTTGGTAGGTATTCATTTTGCGCTCTGGGTTTTGTATAGTTTCAACCGTTTATTAACCTGTTCATGTTACGTGATTATTCGAAATGCCTATGATGAATTATGCACACTGTGTTGCTTCTGTCTAGTTATAAAATTATGCACACTTTGGTTCAAGTACCGATTTAACCGTTTGGCTCCTGTCTTTTGTGTTTTCACAGGTTGATTCCTTGTTGATCAAGGGTCTTCAGCACTTCTCTCACGGCTTCACCAAGTGGCCAGGAAGTTTATGTACAATGCTGTGATGGGCCCCTGATGGATCGGTCCAAGTTTCGTTATGGTTCCTGATCGGAGTCCGGCTGGATTTTGGATCGCCTGTTCTATTTGGTTTGGACTGTTTCATCGTTCCTATTTTGTTGTTATTGTATCGCATCTCCAAAGAAAGAAGAAATGTGTGGGGATGTGCTGACTATTATACTCGGACTTGGTATGGGTGTGGCCTATCACTATGGTTACCATTTTTTCTTACTGTTGTATTCTTTGCTGCTATTGGTGGACAGTAAAGAAATGGTTAAGCAATACTCGCCTCCGTGTATTTCATAACATCATGACTTTTCGTCATGAAATAGCAAAATCATGTAATTCACTAACGCATACAACATACACACCATTTACATGGATAATAATTGGTAATATTTACCACTGTGCACCACGAGTTGCTTGTTTATTGAATACAATGAAAAGCAGGATAGCATAGAAAGATAAAGTATTCCAACAGGCCCCATGCAGAAATTACGTGTGTGTGTGTGAACTTTCATCTGAGGCAGTCTATGTGTGTGTATTTGTGTCAATATGTATGTGTAGCCGTGTATGCATCTCTTGAAATGTATCTGTGTGTATACCCTCTAACACTAAACACATACACACCCTTGCATTCAACCACCAACACTACACACAAACACACTGTTGCATTCAAACACTAACACTACAAACACAATCTAGCATTCAACCCCAACAATGTATACAAAAACACCTTGCATTCAAGTGCTAACACTACACACAAATGCAAATCTGCATTTGAACATCATTTTTTTACATAAACATTCGCACACATACTCCATACAAAAACATGCCTACATTCACACACACAAACCCCAACACACACATACACTACATAACCCTTCAAGGATGGGCACATGGTAGATCTTCAGTTACAAAAGTATGATGGAAGTTGTATGGCATTTGAAGATCTGCTTTTTGGACCCCCCTGCTCTTTATGGAGGCTCAAAGATTTCTTGTACCAGAGCTCTATCTTATTTACTTTTTGCTGTTGATCTAAATCAGCTGTGAACTTCCAGTTCGACAATTTTTGTCTCTAATTTGAAATTCACTTTACATTGATTTTGAATTCTCATTTTAGTGACTATCCCTGCTTGTGTTTCGGAGAGACAAATGGAGACTGATGTAGAACTTATAAGGTCTGTGCTCGTTAATTTCCTGAATGCATGCAAGAAAACCATATGTATTACATTATGGAAACTATGTATGTTACAGCCACGATGGGATGATTTTATTGGTTAGGATTCTGCTCAAAGAAAAGTAACAACTGCAACCCCTACATTAGCTGAATTGACAATAATTACTCACAATACAATCTGGAGGGGAAAGGAGGAAGAGAACCACAATAAAATATGTTTCCTGATGTGCCTTTTTATAATGTTAACACAATGATATTAAAAACTTGTGAAGGAGAGTCAGCACTCGGCATTTCCTCCAACAGAACATTGCAACACAGTGTTAAATGGCAAGACTACATTTCACTAGAACAATCACTGAGAAGGGATGAGCTGGATGAAAAAATGCGATTTTTCAACCCAAACTAAATTATGAACTGTTTGGTTAATTTTGCAATAGAAAAGGTTAGTCGGGGCCCTAGTGATTTATTAACTAAACAGTGAATACTGGAAAACAGACAAGTTGTAAAATCCAAGACAAAACAGTGGTTTTGATGGTTGGTGATAATCTTTGTGTAAATTACTGTTTAGTGCATCTACCAAACCTAGGCTATAATAAATTGCTAGCATATGCCTGCTGATAGAAACGGCGATTCCCTTAAGAACTGGTCGTTAAAAGGTTAATCTTCGGATAGTAGCTCCAACACATCTATGGGGTAAGATAAACAGAAGCCAATAAATCTATACGTATTACAATCAAAAAACTGAAACACATAGAAAAACGGTTTGTCTTGCGGAACAACTTGGGAAAATTCATTTACCTTGATATGTATCTGCCATATAACCTGGAGGCATGGCCTGGACGTCCAGCCGAGATGGGCACGTGTTAAGTTCTATGGCCTCCCCTCCCATTGGGTTACTGACAGTTATTGGGACCCATTGGGTTACTGACAGTTATTGGGACCCATTGGGTTAGTGACAGTGGCACTATACTTATCTACCTGACATATTGTAGATTTAAAATTGCCGCAGGAGCAGTGAGTAAAACATGCATGGCTGCATGGACTCTAATTCTGCAAGAATTATGATAGGATGAATTGTTTGGGATAGTAATGGCCTTGTTTTGCTGTGTATGAAAAAATCATAAAAACCTGCCTACATGTAAAATTGTAGATTATGCTAGCGCAGTGTACCTATAATCTTAATTTTATTAAGGACAGGAGGCGAGTATTTTGCATAATCTTTCTTTACTAAAACTCCAGCAGCATAGGTTTAACAATAAAGTTTAGTGAAAAAAACCAACAACAAAAAAACATTGCCATAGGGTATAAAAGGCCCTTCCTCTTGCATCATTTCCTCTTTCTTTGGTGCGAGATAATCATAAACATATCCTACTATTACAATAAATAATGATAACGACGAAGAATCAGGCTGTAAATGATCCGAATCTCGACTGGAAGATTGTCATAGAGTGTGAAGACGATCCCATGTATTGATCCATGAAGAAGAATCAAACTGAAAAGAAACAAAAGACGTGAAAGGGATTTGGAAATTAACTGTTTGTCCTCATTATTAGCATAAACAATATTACTGTTTATAAAACGCCAGTTTATTCCGTAGTACTTTACGTAAAAGGAATTTATCAGATGAGACAAGAATTTTTTAACCGAAATAGGTAGCTATAATAGAGACATTAATATAGTCAAATTGAAATGTATTAGGAAATCATAACAGATAGCAGTCGTAATTTCAAGATGTGATATGCAATAAACCACGTAATAGAGAGATAACCACACACCCTGAATTCAAATATTTTATTGAAGTACAACCCAATGAATAATAAATAGGTAGGGAAAAAGCAGGGTGGGAAAATACTCGCCTCCTGTCCTTAATAAAATTAAGATTATAGGTACACTGTGCTAGCATAATCTACAATTTTATAACAGGATAGGAGGCTTCGTATTTTGCATTTTTAACGCTATGGAATAACACAGGATGTGTGAAGAATCAGAGGAAGTAGAACACCCTAAAAGTCTCTTCTTGTGACCCGGCCAATGAACATCGGCGAAGGAAGATGCGTTTGGATGTCTGAGATGCATCCATGACCCGAATGACCGATAACCAATCAATCTCCGCAACCATATGAGCAATGGTCAACGTGCCCACCCGGTAACGTGGTGGCCATAACTGGTGTGAAAGGTATAGTATACAAAGGGAGAGAGAGAGGCTGTCTCGATTGTGAGATTCTTCGAGGGTTAGTTGGAGTGAGTATCCAAATCCATAGGTCAAACCTGTAGGAATAGAGAGAACCAAAACTAAGACCCATAACCGAGTGTATTCCGATACTGGTTCTGGGGTGTATGACGCCTCGCGGCATACGAAAAGTCCTGTCGTGGAACGTGAGCCGCCAAAGTCTCCAATGGTATCTTGTGGGTTGTCCGTAAGATGGGAGACAGTGGAAGGGCAGTGGATAGCCCAGAATGGAGTCAATAGGATCGGGAGCCCCTTCGATTCTGCCGTAGTGGCGAGGTGCCTGTCACCCAGATCTCCGTGATGCGATGGTGACCAAGGAGTCCCATTGTCAGTTGTCACAAAACCCAGTTCGTGATATAGATAATCTTCTGAGGGAACCCTAGTCGTAGGGTAACCTTGCGTGTAATTTAGAAATGGTAAATGTCCTCCGATATTATTAGAGTCCGATACAAGACTCCGTCCAGGTGTTTTGTGTAGCCGGTTGCCGAGATATTGTCCAAATGTAGGAGAATACAGCCATCGGATCTGTCCCAGGCTAGCTGTAGGTTGTCGGTAATCCCTACGCCAGCCGTCTCTTCTCAAGATCATGGTTATCTGGTAGGAGTATGTGCAGCGAGCCTTCCAGCCCTAGAGACTGATTGTCGATTACGTGTGTAGTAAGGAACGTCTTGTAGTCTAGATAGGTGAGGTAGCGGATTCCCTTGTGGCGAAAGGGCGCCATGACCGGTTATAAAAGTTTCTTGGGTACCATGGGTTGTACCTTAATGATAGACACGTAAATTGATTCGTTTGGTTCCGTAGATGAAAACAAAATGGACAGATGGGTTCCTGGTGTGACTATCCTGGACTATCCTATCCTGGATCAAAATAAATAGTGATAATCAAATATAGAGACAATCCATCAAAACCAGTGTGAATGTAAAACCATAGTAAGAATGGGCAGAGAATAAAATATTCTGACAGAGTAAATGTAAATTCAATAGTAAGAATGAGCAGAGAAAGGAAACTCTGACAGTGTTAATGTAACTTCAATAGCAGAAAATAAAATACTCTGATCTGTCTGACTGGAGCAGCAAAGAAAGAGGAAATGATGCAAGAGGAAGGGCCTTTTATACCCTATGGCAATGTTTTTTGTTTTTTTTTCACTAAACTTTATTGTTAAACCTGTGCTGCTGGAGTTTTAGTAAAGAAAGATTATGCAAAATACGAAGCCTCCTGTCCTGTTATAAAATTGTAAGTGTGGTTTGCTATTGCCAGCCATTCGCATAACATTCCTTTTAGCAAGTTATCTGGGTCCAACACTAATGAATATCTGCACGTATTTTATTCGTTTTTAGGTACGACCACGCTCGAACATACAGGTGAGTTTATTACTCAGGATAATTTTTAAGAATTGGATTATTTGAAGGTTTTTTTAACTTACACATACACACTCCCCAACAATCATAGTGTGACTGTGAGTAGTGTAACACAATACCAACGCACAATGAGTTCAGGAAGTAAGGTGGACAATTATAACATCATCAATCTGATGAGTGTGGTGCCGTGCACCCTGCTTTATCGCAAATGATCTGTATAAACAAATGTAGAATCTATGGAAAGAGAGGCATTTCTAGAGCTTTTGCCATCCCTGAGTACCTGAGTTCACAGCCCCTCTCAATACACAACTAAAATAATCCTGCACCCGGGACTCATCACTAAGGCGCCGCCACCATGCTGTGAGGATCATAGAGAGCAGGAATGTGATGTGATTCATATCCCCACCCCCTCCACACAGCCTGCAGTATGTTCCAGAGCTCAGCCACTCTACATGAAATGACCGGCAGGAGAGGAGTGCACAGCTGGTCACTTGGATATTACGCCCCTCTGGCAGGTGTGCCTAAGGTGACTGCTTGTGCCGCCTTATGGTAGTGCCTACCCTGTGTCTCACATGAAAAGTGCCACAGCCACAAAAGTGATGCCCAGGGTGGACTGGCCCCTTGTTTAGGTGATATTCTCACAACAGTTTATGTAACAGATACAGGGAGTGCAGAATTATTAG